GCCAGATATCCCACAGTTTCCAAACAGATCAAAAATTTGGAATTAAGAAAGTGAGAGTAACTTTACACTGTAGGCAGAATTTCAAACTTTTCAGACAAAAACGGGCTTATAGCATTACATTTTCACAAGAAATACAAAATTTTCCTTGACCACACTATATAGTGCTCTATCTTGAAGCAAACTGTTGTTTGGAAGTAATTGAACACTAAAGATTGTCCTCTACACAGATGCCCATGTAACAAACCTGAAAAGTTTTCTTGTGCTTTTTACATTTTCCTTCCTGTCTGAATGTAATTTGTTTTTCAGCGATGTCTCCAAGATTAATGAAGGAATAGGTGACAAAATTGGATTGCTTGTTCAAGCACTAACAACATTTATAACAGGATTTATTGTTGGTCTCATAAGAGGATGGAAATTAACCCTTGTAATACTAGCAGTCAGTCCTGTACTGGGACTTTCAGCAGCCATCTGGGCAAAGGTAGGTTAACACAAATTCAATGCCAGGTTTTATATGAATGAGAGATAATGAAATAAATCTACATAGCTGTAATTCGTACTGTTGGAATGTATTGCTTAGAATTGCTTTAGACAACATCTATGTACATAAGCTCTTAGATGAACTGTATATGAGTACCCTCCTGTAGTATGAATATTATAATCCCCATAGATTGGGCAGACTTGTTTGATTTGTAGCTGTTTCTGCCAATATAACATATTTTTACAGAGAAAAAGAAGTAAGATATACAAATAGAATCCACGTCTGTAACTGTTAAACTTCATCGACATGAGTACTTGTTCTGTTGAAAGGAATAATTGCACCTCCTGAAAAATAAGTGAAAAAAATTAGACCAAGCCTTGGTGTCAGACAGTTTCTTTTCAGTGTTGTTAACAGCTTTGGTAAGAAATTGTAGGCAGACATAGGTGAGAGAAGTACTCAATTACCATGGCATTGGAGTGGCTTACATTTGTAATTTGGAAACCTTCAAATTTTTATAGTATTTTATCTCCCTTCCATTCCACCGATTATATAAGCCTTCTCTTTCTTGAGTGAGTATATTGTGAAAAGGTAGGAGTAGAAAAGTATGTGCTATATATGTCTACTGGCCAAGAGTCTTTATGGACTATGGCCAATGTAAGCCATAGAGCCCTCTGGCTAAGGTAGCCAGAGATGAGAATGAGCTGAAAAGGTCTGCCTGTGGAGAACCACACCAGCCCAGTATGAGCAGTCGCCTAATCTCTACTGGGTGAAAGCAGAGTGGAAAATCCAGCCCTTAGTTGTTGTGAATGGGTAATGTTGAATTATTTGATTGAATTCATAATGTACTTAAGGATTTTGATATTGAACATTCTGCACTCATACATAATATAATCAAAAGGCTTCATATTGGAAGAAAGTAACTGTGATAAAAGCCATTATGAAGTGCTTGAGCTCATTCTGTTTTTTTTAAAGTCAAAATATTTGATCCTGTATTAGGTTCTCTCTGCTTTCACTGACAAAGAGCAAGCTGCATATGCAAAAGCAGGTGCTGTTGCAGAGGAAGTTCTGGCAGCAGTCCGTACTGTAATAGCTTTTGGAGGACAGGAGAAAGAAATTAAAAGGTAAGAACAATGTTTGCTTTCATCAGATGATTTTAAAGTACTCGCTTCAGATGGTTTGAATATTTCTTGTATTTTTGCTGCTGAAAGTCTGTCAAAACAAATAAATCTTGTTCTTCCTGTGTTTTTAGGTAATGGGAAATTGTCTGTTACGGGGTATAATTTTAACTACATGTTGAAAGACAATTAGTTATTTTCTAGATATATTGTCTCTACTCTAGAAAGTGTACAAATTACTTTAAATATCACACAGTGAGAGCTTTAGAGAAAAAAAAGGCCCTGCCAGGAGAAGAGATGATGGTATCCTTGGTAATCTGATTACTCAGTAGTTGTTGTGAAAGTACTAATAAACAATATCTCTATTTCCACTATACTGTAAAACATCATTCTTGTGATATATTTTAACCTTTTATCTTAAGCTAACAATATAATCTCAAAACCTGTCATGAATGGTTCACGATTAAAGTTCACTGACCCGCAGGTTCTTTAGGAACTTGAATGCCAGTCCCTGAACTGCAATGGCCTTTTTTTTCTATATATGAGGTTGACTGATGTTGACCTTTTTAGAGTTACCTAAAGTGTCTGTGCCTGACTACCAGGCTTACCTTTGTACAGTCTTAGGGTTATATATTTTATATATCTTGTACTTTGTGAGTGTTCTTTTTCTAACTTTTCCACAGAGTTTTTGGTGCTGTGTGCCATGGTGCGAGTCTGAATCTATTTTAAAGTTCTATCCTTCTTCCAGATACTATAAAAATTTAGAAGATGCTAAACGGATTGGAATAAAAAAGGCTATTACATCTAATATTTCTATGGGTGCTGCTTTCTTACTGATATATGCATCATATGCACTGGCCTTCTGGTATGGAACTACCTTGGTTATAGCTGATGATTACACTATTGGCAATGTTCTTACAGTAAGTATTAATGAGTAAATTCCCAATAATAGTGAGAAATACTAAAAATACATTAAAGTGTGTATTAGGATGTTATTTCAGTTTAATAAGAATTATGTGCCAAAATTGGCAATATAGCATCCCTTCTTCTTAACAAAAAGACACTCAACACAAAAGTTGACATGTTGTTTCTATAGTATCTCAAAATCTACATCAAGATGAATAAAACATATATTATTTTCAACTGTTTCTACATCTTTTCTGGCTTCCATAAGATCAGACTGATATAAAAACAGTTCAGTCAAAAACTGAAGTACAGTATCCTTTCTAGTTGCTATTTGTTTTCAGATTTGTGGGTCTGGATATATTTTCAGGATGCAAAACCAAATGCTTTTTTTTTAACGCTTGTGTGGTCTAAACAGATCATGTTATTGATACCTTTTTTATATTTTGCTCCATAAGAGCTTGGAATCACTTCTCAGTATTTTTAGAAATCAAGGGGGAGAAAATATACTTGTCACTAGGAAATATGTCACCAACTAACCAAAGAAAGAAAACCATACCTTGTAGGTCATAACTTAAATTCTTCTCTTGATGTGGCAACCATTCTAATTTCATACAAGATATCAAACAAATATGGTAAGAAGAATAACTTTGTTAACCACGATGAAACCCAGCCAGGAGACACTATATATATATTTATATCTTTTTTAAACTACCTGTTTTATTTATGAATCACTCAAGTTTGTGAAAAATGGCTCTGATATGTGTTATTGGCTCTTTTGAATTCACCTATTTTTTTTAAAGGCAGGATGGCATACAGAACATCACAATGAAGTTCATGCCCTTGGTGTAATTTTTTCAATTCAAAGTATTTGCAATTTCAGCTGTCTATGTTGCAGTACATTGGAATGGTGTTTTTATAATGTGAACAAGAGGGTGTTGCCTTATTTGGTATCATGTCTGTGAATAGCCACTGTCAGAGAAAAGATGATGGGTGTGATGGACCTTTGCTCTGATGTACTGTGCCTCTTATTACGATCTCTGTTTGAGCAGTGTGTTTTTATTACTTTTGTTTTGATATTAGCTGAACACAATAAACCATGCTTCTCTGAGAAAATAGTATATTTTCTCTTTTTCTGTTTTTTCTTGCTTGCTTGCACTCACTGTCTTTCATTCCAGCAGAGGGACCCTTTATTACTTTGTGATGGAGAAGTTGTATTTGTATACTTCTATGTCACTGTCACTTTGAAAGCAGAATGATAATGCTTTGCATATCTGTCTTTGTTCTATTGGAAGAGATGCAATATACTTTCTGGTCTTTGGAAAATCTTTTGCCAAATAATGAATTAGTACAATAAATCCCAAGACATCAAGTGTAATTATACATTTTTTGGCATAGATTTTGCAGGTCCCGGGCACTTTTTCACTTCTTAACAATATGTTGGCAACTTTCACATTGTGCAGGAACTTGGTTCTCAGCTGAATCTTAAAAAGCCCTTCTCTTAATGTTATTCTCTGTTTAAGAGAGACCCTTTCATTTTTTCTTTAATTCTTGGGTCCTTGAACAATAAGCATGTTAACAGGCATGGAGGCTCCTGACCCAAAGATATCTAATGTAAACAAATAAATGTAATTCTGTGCTTATATAAGAATTGATATAAACCACCACAAACATTTCTTTCAGGTCTTTTTCTCTGTGTTGATTGGAGCTTTCAGTATTGGTCAGACTGCTCCAAGTATAGAGGCATTTGCTAGTGCAAGAGGAGCTGCCTATGCGATCTTTAATATCATAGACAATGTGAGTATCTTTACGCTCACTCTCATTTCAAAATTGAGAGACCCTTATTTTTAAAGTACAGGGGCTATATATGGATATGAAATTAGTAAGAGTAAATAACAGTGTGTAAAATAAGCAGAAATATAAACATAAAAGCAGATGGAATGTGTAACTATTAGCCAGTTCCTCTTTGTCTTCTGGAGTTATCAGTTCTTGCTTCAAAGGTAAAAGTACTGGATCTGTGAATCACGAGGTGTTGGAGGTATCCTCTAATGTTTTTGTCATGCAGGGCACATTTATGGTGCTATATAGTTATGCGATTACCGCCGATGTAGGTATATGAGCATAGGTTTCAAGTTATCCATGTCACCCCCAGTAGCGTGAGTGTTGGCAAATCAATAAAACACAACCTGGTAATCTGGATATGTATTTCAGTTGCCAAGAGAGCCTGAAATCAGGGAAGCTGTGATTTTACTAGCTAGTGAAGCTCTATGAAATGCAATTGCATGTTTTGGATTATTGTTAAGACATGCTTCAAGTTCTAGACCCACCCAGGATAGAAACAAATACAGTGATAATTAAGAAATCTGTTTCTGCTTAATGATCAGTGGGTTGGTTCTTCTTCTCACATAAATTGTTTCAGCAGAAAGGGCAAAGCTATAAATGAACAGAGTATGAACAGCTCATTAGAGACGGTCTGTTCAGGTTGATCATTAGGCAGTGAAATGAATCTTGAATTATGTCTAGCTGTGGGTACAGTTTTAAAGACAATGTACTAAATTCACACAAAAGCTTAAATAGAAAAATTATTAAAGTATTCTTGCATGAGCAGATGATCAATGTAGTAATGAGGCCACAAAGCATCATGCAATTTACATGTTTCAGAAATCTCACATAAATTACTTTAAAATTACGTTTAATATCTCTGCAGAACAATGGTGTAGGTTTTTTTTCCTTCTTTGTTTTGTTTTGTTTTTTATTTTATTCACACAGGAACCTCAAATTGACAGTTATTCAGAGACAGGTTACAAACCAGACCACATTAAAGGGAACGTGGAATTCCAAAATGTTTACTTCAATTATCCATCCAGACCAGATGTTGAGGTACTGTAAACAAAACTTTATACATATTACAGTTAAACATGTTGATCATTTGTTAGGAAAAAAAAGTTGAAAGTTGGAAAGTGAAAATATAACAATTCCAAGTTGATTCTCTAATTTATATAAAACTACCTTCCTATCACAGTGATTTTAGCTAGAATTATTTACACCTTAGCTAAACATGTTAAATTTTCTGAATATTTTTCTGTCTGAAGCTATAGTCAGTCTGGCTATGTAATAAAATATAAAGATTTATTGCTATCAGAATCTTAATTTATGCATCTAACCCATGTTTTTATATAGTAATAATAACGAGATAGTGGGTTTCAAAAGTACCTTCAATGCAGCTCTGTTAAGATTATATCTAAATCAGTTAAAGACAGCAGATCCAGCAAGGACTTGTTATATATGGAATAGAGATCAGAATCTCTATTTTTCTGTCTAGACAGCAAAAAAGTTGGCTTTTTAAAGCACTGTCATAAATCCAGAATTGTAGTACAGTGGATGTGGAAAACATTTTAATGATTTCTGAAAATATTTTCATAAAGAGTGTCTTTGCACTATGTAATTATTTCCTTCCATACCTTGAAGGAAAATCACTGACCTTAATAAAGGGATCTTCCTTACTTTCAATAGGCAGAAAGGAAAGACACAGAGCTTTCTTTGTAAGACACTTTTACTCGTAAATATGTTAAATATTTTGGCTTTTCCTTCTATCAAGAAAGTGAATGAAGTGGATGTGCTTGATTTTTCTTCATATAGAAATATAAATGAAAGAAAACTGTTGATCTGAGTGGATTATTTTATGAGTTTATACAGGTATGATACCAATAGAGATTTCTCCCCCATAGTTTCAGACATAATAATTATAGGAAATTAAAGGCACACAAAACATTTACTAAGTAATTCATAAATTATACTAAAGAGGAAAATAAGAAGGTCAAATAACTCAGGGTATTTAATTTCTGCCTAAATTTAACCTACCTGACTTTCAAGTTAACTCTTCTTTTCAACAAGATTAAGCGAAGCAAAGTAACTGACAGGCAGGATGAAGGCTGCAAGTTGCTTCCTATCTCACTAGACTAATTTATTTGCTGTCCTTACTCTCTCTTCTCTGTTTGCTTTAAGTTGTTTGAAACAGCCTAAATGGATTTAATTATGGATTTTATTTTGGTATAAGAAAGAGGTTCTGGTCAATAGTCCACTGAAATCAGTGGTAATCCACAGGTTTTTGATCAACTTCTATTTGCTACTTTATTTACATTAGATTTGTTTGAGTTATTCTATATGAAGTCTATAGACTAAATGATCTATAGCATTATTACCAGAAGATTAAATAAGGCTGCTTCATAAATTTTCAATTGTCATTACTTACATTGGTCTTCTTGTTTGGATCTAAAAATATTATTGCCAAATAAGGCATACTAAAAGATGTGATTTGTCTATGCCTCTTGTTCCTAAACAGTGAGATATATTTCACTTGTAAAGCACACAAATACTGGTACTAAGGGTCAAGAGGTAGTGGTGGTGCTGAGGGTAGAAATTTAGAAAGAAAGAGATAGCGACAAGGACACAGGGCTGCAAGGTATTGGGAAGTACATTGGGAGAGTATTAAAATGTATTGGTGCATGCCTGTACATTTAGAATGGAAAAATGGACTTAGCCATGATGCAGATGCTGACATTCAGGTATGCATGGTTCATTGTAGCCTAGTCCTTCTAGGAAGACTAGCAAAAAATATGCTGTTCTTATTTCAATCTACGTTTCCAACCACAGAAGTTTTACAAAGTAGTGAAAGCAGTACAGACCCCTGTACACCTTTTGTCTGTATAAAGTAGAAACAAAAACACTTTATTCCTTTTTTCCTATTGTTGTATCTTCTTACTAGGTGGGCTAAATTATACATACATAGCATGGACATGATAACTGTGTGTCTGTTCTCCAGCCCCACTACACAGCCTAATACAGGTTATATTCTTGAAAATAAAATGAAAGAGCAATTACATGGCGCCAAAAAGCTACATTTACCCTTTGTAAGAGTCCCAAGAAAGGCAAAATTTTGTATCTTTCATGGTTGTGAAATGCTGTATTTTATGCTAACTAGTACAAAAAGGTTATATATTGTGCAATGAAATGTCACTGTTTTAAAGAAGCCCCACCAGCAATTCCAATCAAAAGGGGAAAAAATAAGGATACTTCAAGGTTACTAAAATGACTTTTCCTCCAAAACAATGTAGAGTATATTCTGTCACTTTTAACTGTGACTTTTACTGTAGAATAGTTTTCCTGTAGTTTGCATGGTGCATTAATGAAAAAAGTGAGGCAACATAATACAGAAATATTGCATCATATTGTTTCTATATTATATTTCAGTTGTGGGTAGTAATCATATTATTGTTATTTTGTTGTATCAGCTGGTTCATGATTTGGGTAGTTGTGAAGTGTGTTGTATAATACATTGATATTGGACCAATTGTGATGTAAATATGAAGAAAATGAAGCTGAAGTAATTAGTTACCCAAAATTTAAACTCACATGTTTATAAATCTTATTTTGTACCAGATTCTGCTATAAATAAGAAGGACATTTTATAGTAGTCTTTAGAGCTTCTTCAAATTTACATTGACATTTTTACATAGAGTTATGATTTTGGTCACGTTTCTTACATGCACAGATACTGAAGGGCTTGAATCTCAAGATTAGTTGTGGCCAGACAGTGGCGCTGGTTGGTGGCAGTGGCTGTGGGAAAAGTACAACTGTTCAGCTCATCCAGAGATTTTACGATCCCAAGGAAGGCACGGTAAGATACTTCAAGTGAGAAGACTGCTCTGTGTGTCACAGTTGTTGGAAGCGTAGTTCTAGCCTCACTGCCCTTGTTCCATTGACATGGCAAAGTCTCCCCTAAAAAGGCTTGGGGAGACCTGGACAGAGAGGTTCCTTGACCAAAACACTTAGTAAACAGTTTTTGTCTTCTTCCTTTTGTTTAGGTGACCATTGATGGGCAGGATATTAAGACCTTAAACGTAAGATACCTGCGGGAGATTATTGGTGTGGTGAACCAGGAGCCCGTGCTCTTTGCTACTACCATTGCAGAAAATATTCGTTATGGCCGTGAGGACGTCACCATGGAAGAGATTGAAAAAGCTACCAAGGAAGCGAATGCTTATGACTTCATCATGAAGCTACCCAATGTAAGCAAACCAACTGTCCTTTTTCTGCTGAAATAATTTCTCTTAAAGCATCTTGTGCCAAACAGTTCATTAGAAAGGATTCTTGTAAACAGAGGAAGCTGTTTTCCAGAATATGCAGAACTATGCAGAGCTTCCTCATAACTTTTGAGAATAATGTTAATTTTAAGTCTTTAGGTCATGACTTGATGAGCATTTGAAGAACTATTAGAAATCCAGGGACAGAAACTATTAGGCAGGTATATCCAAGTGGGTGTTTATCCTGTAGTGTTTTAGAGGAAGGAGAAGGTGCTGCCAGGGTTCCTAACACTGATGTACCTTTTCTTTACTCTGCCTTTCTTTGGTGAAAGGGCTGTGCCACAGAATGTTTTGGAAACATGTGTGGTTGTCTTGTAGAAGTTTGAAACCGTGGTTGGAGAAAGAGGGGCCCAGCTGAGTGGAGGCCAGAAGCAAAGAATCGCAATTGCTCGAGCTCTGGTTCGCAATCCTAAAATTCTTCTGCTTGACGAGGCAACGTCAGCTTTGGATACTGAGAGTGAATCAGTTGTGCAGGCAGCACTGGACAAGGTCAGTAGTGTTCTGAAATGAATCAGGTAAGCAGGAGCCTAATTTTTTTTCTGGGAATTTGTTTACTGAGCTGCAAGAAATAGAGACCCTTAAAACACAAAAAGCAAAATTGGATTTGGCAAATATTCTCTGTGCAGAGAATTTTTGGTATCCTGCAGGTATTACAGAGAGAAATCTTGTTTCAGGAATTATATTTTCTGCACGGTTAAGCTTAAATCAACATTTTCTTGGTGTAAATACCACCCACTGCAATTATTTGTCTTATGGACATGCATATTGTTGTCAGGCACCTATTGATGAACTTGTGTTGAAGCCTGACAGGCAAGGTAAGTGCTACCAGCATGTCGTAAGTGATTGTAGCAGTAACATTGCAAGAAACATTCCAAGAAAACATTTGCTTCAGTTAACATGAATATGTCTAGGTGCTTGTTTTGTTCTTAGTGTCATTCTGTATCACTAAGGGACGACTGATCCCTGGTGCAACTCAGGAGTCTCTGTATTCGTACTGGGGCTGTACCCCTAAATGCTATTCTGAATTTACTCAGTTGGATTCTGCTGAAGTACTGTAATGCTTCCTGCTGCTGTTGGATAGAGAAAGACAGTTTGAGAATTATTAATGGAAATACATTTAATAGAGAAGTTAGTTGTCTAGCTTTTATTGATCACATTATCTTATAAATTTGGATCATCATAAACCTTTGGAGAAGATCTAGGGAATCATAGAATGGTTTGGGTTGGAAGAAACCTTTAAGGTACACCTAGTCAAACCTCTCTGCCACAGGCAGGGACATCTTTCACAAGATTAGGTTGCTCAAAGTCCTGTCCAACCTGACTTTGAACACTTCCTATGGTGGAGAATCCACAACTTTTCTGGGTGACCTGTTCCAGTGTCTCACCGCACTCATTGTGAAAAATTTCTTCCTTATATCCACTTGAAATCTACTCTTTTTCAGTTTAAAACCATTGTCCCTTCTCCTGTCTCTACAGGCCCTGGTAAAAAGTCTTTCTCCACCTATCTTATAAGCCCCCTTCATATACTGAAAGGCCACAACAAGGTCTCCCTAGAACCTTCACTATTCCAGGCTGAACAACCTCAACTCTCTCAGCCTGTCTTCATAGGAGAGGTCTTAGCCCCTCTGATCATTTTTGTGGCCCTCCTCTGGACCAACTCTAATATGTCCATGTCTTTCTTGTATGGGGGACTCCAGACCTGGACATAGTACTCCAGGTGGGGTCTCATGAGAGCAGAGTAGAGGGGCAGAATCACCTCCCTCAACCTGCTGGCCATGCTTCCTTTGTTGCAGCCCAGCATGCAGTTGGCTTTCTGGGCTGCAAGTGCAAATTGTTGGCTCGTGTCAAATTTTTCATCCACCAGTATTCCCAAGTCCTTCTCCTCAGGGCTGCTCTCAATCCCTTCGTCCTCCAGTCTGTGTTGATATTGAGGATTACTGTGGCCCAGGTGCAGGACCTTGCACTTGGCCATGTTGAACTTTGTGAGGTTCACATGTGCCCACTCCTCAAGCCTGTCAAGGTTGCTCTGGATGCCATTCCTACTCTCAAGCGAATCAACTGCACCACTCAGCTTGGTGTCATCCGCAAACTTGCTGAGTGTGCACTCAATCCATTTGTCTATATCAATGATGAAGATACTAAATAGTATAGGTCCCAGTATGGACCTTTGAGGCACATCACTGAATATGAACACCATCCATGTTCCAACAAAATTCCACTGCCTGGGATCATTACTTTGGTTGTTTAAACTAAAATTTGCTTGATCATTTTAAAACAGCAAGCTGTGACATTTGATACATTACATGCGACAGGCTTATAAGCATCCAAAGATAGGTAGGTAGTTGAAATGTATTTCACATGAAATTATAGATAATTTTATTTTCACTGGTGCTACTTGAGTCGGAAGTGACTTAAAACACCAACATTTTTTAAATGTCAGTGTGAAATATTTTCTAATACTTCTGAGTATAAACTACCCTTCTCAGATTTTAGGGTTTAAATGATCAACTATGGGCTTAAATATAACTTAGCATTGTTAAAATTTTAAGGTTTGTAATATTGTAACATACTAAAATTTTAAATATGCATAATTTTTTAGATGTCTGTGATCAAAATTTGATGGGTTTATGTTCCACAGTAAAAGACTGTCTCTAATATTAATTTTCATGCTAAAGATCATATTTCTGTTTTAAGGTACTCATTGAAATATATATTGTATGAAATATATATTTTTTATTTTTAAGTTCTATTTTTCTGTGAACCATTTTAATGTTTCCCTTAGGTCTTACTCAACTCTAATATGAAGACGAGCAATTTTTGAATATACTTAGAAATACTCATATTAAATATTGTTATTTCTAGGCAAGAGAAGGACGGACCACAGTAGTAGTAGCTCATCGACTGTCAACAGTCCGAAATGCAGATCTTATAGCTGTGTTCGAAGGCGGAGTTATCACAGAACAAGGGAATCATTTTAAATTGCTTGAGAGAAAGGGAATCTACTACAAACTTGTTAACATGCAGGTACCTTTTTCTCACTAGCTGTTGCCTCATTTTCTTTTTTGTATTCCATGCCCATAGATATTGTATGGTCTCATAAGTATGGGGAATTCTGCAGCGTATTTTGTTACCAGCAAAAAAATAAGTACTTTGAAAGGAGAGTAGTAATTTGAGAGAGAAGACCACTAGTTTTGATACACTCCTATTTAAACCCAGGATACTACATTTTTAATCCTCTAGGGATTTAAACTTAAAAGATTATTTTTATATTTTTCTTTATGCAGTTAACTTAGAGCAGCTGACTACAGTAGTTTGCTATTCCATAGCTTGTCCTTAGTCTATGATAAGATGTAAAATACAGTATCTCATATAGGAGGAATAAAGCATGCATATTTTAAGCTGTTTAATTGTAATCCTTCATACTGAATTTCTTTCTAAAGAAGAAAATGTGTGGAAGAACAAGAGAAAATGTAAAGTAATCCAGCTATGCTGAGTGAAAAAATATGTACACTTTTAAAGTTATATAGCCAGAAACAGAGATTGGAAATTAATATAAATATCAGAAAGACATCAATTATTAAGTGAAGAACAGAATACTTTATTACATTCCAATGTCCCATGTGATAGTTAGGTTATAGCTGAGCTTCACTAGCCTTCTGTGTCGCTAGTGTTTTACTGCATAACCACAACGCCCATTAAACAAACTGAAACTGCTATCTCAGTATGTCAGACTGAAAAGAGTAAGCTAGGCCAACTAAAACATTTCTTTATAAAATAACTATGAGAATTCATTTGCTCCCCGTAAGTTCCAGGTAACTTTGTATTCAAGCAAATGTGATAATGGGAAAAAATAGGAAATATAAAATGGAAAGAAAATAAAAAATAATGGAAAATAACAAAAAAATGGAAAGAAAGCAAAAAAAGTTCTTTTTATTAGAGGTACAAAAAGCAGTAAGAAATAAAAACTTCCTGGAAAAAAAAAGAAATACAAGTTGAAGGCAACTTTGAATACAGTTACTATTAAATACCTCAGTGATGGACAGGCATTTATTTATTCTGTCTCAGAGACTGGCAAAACTACCACCAAAAGTAGGGCTTTTTTTCAGACTGTTCGGATTTTTCAGTTAAAATCTCTCTTTGACCTGTTCCATCCTGAACTCCTGTATTACATTTTAAGTAAAGAATTTTTAAGTGTTCCACAGTAAAGAGGGGTAATTTTTTCTCATTTCATGGATAAACAGTGTATCCACTGAGAACTCATTCAAAAAGATCTCAAGATGGGTGCAAATGATTTTCACTCAATTTAAAACTCTGTTAAGAGTTAATTCATAAAAAGAGAGCAGCTACTTCCGCTCCCCTGCCCTCCACTTAGTATAAGTATTTTCTTGAGAGGTGGGGATACTCTTATATATGAATCAAGTTCTGAAGATAGAGATCTACTCAAACATAATACAGATTTTCATATCTGCTTTATAGCATTATGTATTGTTTTCCCCATATCTTTTTCCACTGAAACAATCAACGCTAGTTTGTCTTTGATTATCTCATAATTTTGAAAATTCAAAGTAATGTATGTATAATTAATCTTAGCATCATGTCCTTCCTTCTTTCAGGCAATAGAAGCTGAAGCTCCATCATCAGAAAAATATGAGAATGCACTTAGTGTCCAAAAAAGTGAATCTGAACCAGAATATGAAGAATTGAGAGAAGAATTCAGGAAAGGATTGAGAAGACGATCAACTCGGAGCAGCATGAAAAAGCCGGGAGCACAAAATGATGATACTGATGAGAAAACTAGTTCACCTGTAAGTATCTTTGCAAAGCTGTTAGTGAACTTTGATTCCTTTCAACAAAGTATGTTAAAATTAAATTCATTCTCCTGCTCTAGAAAGGTTCAAGAAGAAGGAGGCATTTGATAGGGGTGAAAAAAACATGAGAATTTTCTAATTCTATATAGCCTTTGACTGATAATATTCATAACTTGCTTTGTTGTTCTCACCATGAATGATTACACAAATAAAGTGGGACTTAAAAAAGCTATAGTAAGGATGAATTTATTCATGAAAATCTATTTGCTATAAAAGAAGTATACTTACATATATGTGCATACCATACAGATATAGTCTATACACATTAAAAATTCATTTTTGGATCCGAAACAGAACATTTGGCCCAACATACAGCTTTCACAGCAAACCTTACCAAAAAATCATACAGCATGCAAGATTGCATTCATATTTGCAGCAAATACTTTGCCATTATAATTTGCTTAATGTACAATTGCTTTAATTAATCTAGTCATGGATTACACTCAACAGTATGTCCAGAATGAATAATTCAGTCACCATTGACCGATACCAAGAGTATTCAGCAATGAAAATTATATAGATAAACTAAAATATGATGACAAGACCTGTAGATATATTCTAACAGCTCTTTTTTCCTTGTATTAAAATAATAAAAATAAATGTACAGTCAGTTTATTATTCATGTTATTAAAAATTAGACATTTTTAATTCCCCTGAGTAGATTTTGGGAGTAGGAAATTGACCATTAATCTCTCTTTTTCTCCATATTTCTCCGAGTACATACATGTTTGTCATAACAGAATTCACATTTTTTAGGATGAAGAGTTACCTCCAGCTTCATTTGTGAAAATTATGAAGTTGAACAAAACTGAATGGCCATACTTTGTAGCTGGAACTTTATGTGCAATTATCAATGGAGGTTTACAACCTGCATTTGCAATCATATTTTCAGAAATTATAGGGGTAAGTTTGAATACAATATGCAAAAAACTATAAAGCCCACAAAATTTATTTCTAATAAAACCAGGTCTTAAACAATCACTGCATAATGAAGCTGAGGAGTGGATGAAGCACTATTAGAAAAATCTGAAGAATTATATGAGTTTTACAGAATCCTAAAAGTCTTGCTACAACCTGAAATTTGCTCATTGTACCTATATGTCAGATACGCTCAAATTATGCATGAATGCAAATGACTACCAGTTATTAAGAAATATAGGAGTATTTTAGTTGATTTTTTTAAAATGTTCTTCTAAATATTATTTTATAGATTTTTTCAGAAACTGATGACAACATTTTAAGAGAAAAGAGCAACTTATATTCAGTGCTGTTTTTAGTACTTGGGATCATTTCCTTTTTTACTTTCTTTTTTCAGGTATGTTTTATTATTTTAGCTTTATTATAATTGTTCATCATGTTTTAGTAAACAGATTTGAAATTTACTGAAGTCTTATATCTTAATACATGTCTCTAACTTAAACCAGAACCCACATTTATGGTTCTAGATGTGCCTTGTGCTAAATTGAATCTTTATTGACCTAGAGTTACTCATGTGTTAGACACCTTCCATCCTATTCTAACCTCTTAACTTCAGTACTAGCGTTCTTCTTCAGCAGTCAAACACATCTCAGCATGAAACTCTGCATTCTCTTCCACTTTTTTCGGGTGCCACCTAACGGCCATCCCCTCCAGCCTTCACACTGTACCACACTGCCTTCTCACACTCAAGCCCTCCTATTGGAATCTGTTAGTAATTGCAAATCTATGAATCTCATGCCTTAGCTCTCTCCATTCAAGTCTTATCTTATGTGAGCCCCTCCCAAAGATTCCCAAGCCCAGTTCCTCAAGTAACACCCACCATGCTGATACTCAGCTCCTGTTGCTTAAATACTAATGTTTAAACAGTAATATGCCATCCCCTGCTCTCACTGATCTCTATAGACATCTCAACTTTTACAAAAACAAATATTTTATTTTAAGATAGTAATCATAAAGGTGCAAACTTTGGCATTTAAATATTTTTGTATATAGTCTGGTTTATAAGATCTGTATATATTTTTATAGTTTTATCCATTAAATGAGCCTACACAGTGAAATAATAAAGTGCACTTGAGACAGCAGCATAAACAGTCACTTACAAAAACCTCCTGGGTTATTTATGGAATTGTCTTGTTGCACATGCATGCAAGAAGGCCTTGGTTATAGAAGACTGAGTTGTAGATGGCTATGAGAGGTTTGCTCAATTTATTCACGTTCAGATAATGTTTTAAATATGAGTGGGAAGAGATGTAACACCCCCAAACTAGTGACAATGAAAAAAAAATTAAAGTATTCTTATAATCTCTTTATATAGTGCCCATCGCTGATGTTCTTCTGTGATTTTTTCTGTCACATAGTTGTGCAAATTTACTGACAGTATAGGAGCACAGAAAAGATAATGATCCAAGTTAACTGAGAAATATTTGCTGATTAGATTGTACCATACTAGTTTTTCTTAGTATCACATAGTCCACTTCCATCTGTGGCTTGTGTTTTAAGAGTATTCAATTTCACAAATGTAGACTCCAAACAATTAATATTTGTAATCACATAAAGCTGGTAGTGAGCTAAACAAAGCTGATTATAAACACTGAAGTCATACTAAATTGTAGGAAAAGTGTATCTTCCCAAAATTTTAACGACCATATTCCTTTTTTAATTCCATTGGAGTTGATGGGAGTTTTGCATTTGACTTCAATGAACCCAGATAGCCTTATGAAGTCTTTAACATAAAATGAGTGGTCTAAAAATCTCTTGTTTAAATCTGACTTAGGTCAACTCAGATAAAAACAAAGTCAAAGGGTTGATTAGTGATCTTCTCCTTGAAGCACGCTAGTGAAGCAATGTTGGGAAATATTGCTATGCTCTCTATATTTTTTTGAGAAATAATAATTGAATATCTGTACTGTGAAGCTACTAGAATTTATGAATATTAAACCTGGTTTTATATTTGTTTTGTTCAATTAGGACTACAATATTTTATACTTTGACATTGTAGAGACAAAGTATATAAAATATTTATTGTCTAAACACAAAAAATGTAATGGTATGCTAAGCATTGTACCTTTTCTCAAATAGGGTTTCACATTTGGCAAAGCTGGAGAAATTCTTACAATGAGGCTTCGATTCATGGCATTTAAAGCAATGCTTAGACAGGTAAAGATAATAAATATTTTGATTTCAAGGTTTTTAAAAATAATTAATTGTATAGAAATAAAATAACTGTATTCTACATTATTCTATCATATTATGACTTGTCTACAGGGAAGATTCTTTAAATCAGTCTAGAAACCAATATCGTTAGTTACATGTGGCTGAGCAGAGTATCCTTAGAGGGAGAGCCTTAAATCAATACAAGTACAATTGCTTTTTATGTACCCCTTGCAAGGACTTAGATTTACAGCCAAGTTACTATGGCCTGACAAGTTGATGTGCACCGGCAGTATCCCATTATGTGTTCATTTGTCTGCTTTGCTTTCTTGGTGCCCTTTCTCCTCTCAAGAAATGCAACGCAATTCAGCTTACATTGTAACTCTTACTTCAAATGTCTGATTTGAATTGTAATATGTACAGATACGGTTTTATTTATTTATTGAAGGTCTCTTTCAAAGAGTTCCCAAATCTATAATTATTCTTTGTTAACGCAGTAGTGAGATTGTATAGTTAAATCTAAAGCCACTTTCAGAGAATGAAAATATAACTATTTCATAGTGTTTCTAACTAATTCATGTAATTATCTAAATTAGCCTTAATCTTGCATGATTTCAGGATCAATATTTTGGATTGTCACATAGACAATATAATATTTCTGGGGTTTTTTGTCTTGCACATAAAGCTACCTGTAGGCACAGAATTTGCTTTATGTGAACATGACTTTTTCCAATGCAGACAGAAAGTTGTTGTGGTCTGAAAAACTATGATTTATAGATCAGCCTCACTGAAAACCTAATGAAAGAGCTATCTTACAATTGAGTCTTGAGGTCACAAATGCCTGTACTACATCACCAGGTCTTCATTCAATGCATATTACACATGAACGTTTAAATCAGGTATTTGGTCACATTGTGAATAAATTATAACCTGTCTACCTGACCCCAACAATTGAATTTGATCACCTAAAGATCACCTAAGTTCACCTAAATAAACCAGTTTGTTTGGTTGGGATTTTTTTGTCTCATAGCTTCCAAATAATCCTCTTCAGTCTTGGAGAAATGAAGCCATGAATTGGGAGATTTTAACTTGAAAATGCTTTACACTTAATTCATCCCCCAACAGCTTTCCAATTGTGGATTGTCACTGAAGAGTGAAATCCTCCATGGAGATGCAGATTCAGCAGCAGTGCGGGAGGGTAGATGTTGGTTTTGGGAATCCCCCAGGCTGTTCTACTTCCTTCTCAACAGTGACAGTGTACACATCATATCATCCAAAAGTATAAACTTTTTTCTAAAAATACTCATTGTGCAATAAAACAATTAGACTTAATTAAATGTGCAGAACTGATGCACTGACACATACACAGTCTTCTGATACTGAACTTAGTTATATTAGGCAGACCTCAGTTTCACTTTGTAGTTTATATGAAGTGTCCAAAAATTGGTCCTAAGAAAAATGTTTCCTATTGTAGGACATGGCCTGGTTTGATAATTCTAAAAATAGCACTGGAGCATTAACTACAAGACTTGCTAATGATGCCTCACAAGTGAAAGGAGTAAGTAAAATTTTGGTTTGGAATTTTTCATATTTGGTTTGGTATGTAGTAAAGTTGCAGCTTGGGTTTGACTGGTTGGATAACAGTCGCCTTTAACAAATAAAATTTACTATAAAACGATAGCTGGTATAGAATGCACTGATGTGTTTTATAACAATGATGGTAATATGAGTTCACAAAATAATTTCCATATAAATGTTTTTTTTAAAGTTTACTACTGTGCTGCATTGTGATCTTCATTATTAAACAAATTCATTGGCAATCTCTTTATCTAAGTCTGTTTAGAGCTATCTTATATACCTAATGATATGCATCTAAATTTGTTCAGTTTATGACCTCCTATTATTTTTTGGATTATACAGATTCCTTATATGAAAAAAATTAGACACAGTAGCAATAGACTTCTTTTTCCTTGTTACTCTTTGAAGATTCTTTAGGAGTAATTTATGGACTTTCAGGGGTCTGTAATATTAGGCTAAAGAGCACTGAGTACAATTATTCATGTATGTTTAAGTAAATTTTTATGGCTACATGAAGTTATGTGCTTTTTTTCTGAACTGAGGAATTCTGTAGTACCTTTGGCTATATATATTAAAAATTTTCTTCTTCATTGGGCTCTGTGTGATGATTTACAAAGCTAGCTGCCTGATCTACAAAAAGTAACAGGTTTTAATGTTTAACTGTAAACATAAATATGTGATATGCTTAAAGCCTGTTCAGCTTCAAGAGCAGAATTTAGAAACTGCAGTGCAAATTTATGTAATCAGAATATGGGGAGAGAAGAATTAAATGTGATCTAGATATTTTTTTACAAAATCATTTAAGAAAATCCCATTTTGAAAAATAGCAAAACTGAGTTAAGACTTTCTAAATGGTGCTTTGAGAATCAGGAATATTATAGGTGAAAATGCTTTCCTTGTTTAAAATGCAATTACTTTAGCAAGAAATATCTTTTTTCTTCCTCCAGGCAACTGGTGTCAGACTGGCATTAATTGCTCAAAATATAGCTAACCTGGGAACTGGAATTATTATATCATTAATTTATGGCTGGCAGCTGACCCTCCTACTTTTAGCTGTTGTGCCAATCATTGCAGTGGCAGGAATGATTGAAATGAAGATGTTGGCTGGGCATGCTAAAAAAGATAAAAAAGAGCTGGAGGCTGCAGGAAAGGTGAGTCTAGAGAAGTTTTTCTATTTCTGTGTAGTGTATAAAGTCATGTTTACCAAAGCATTGTTGATGGATGTATTACTTCCAAATACAGTACATATATTTAATTTCCAGAGACAGACAGACTTTATGTAGTTGCACTAGTAGACCTACAGACCATAACTGAAGACTTATGTTATTGACTGATATTTATTTTTATAATTTATAAACCCCAGAGTGTGCTAAGCGCTATTCAGGCACATTCTCTTCTCCTTCCTGTTCTGAGTATCTCTATTTTTCTTATTTTGCAACCCTCTTCATTTTGACGTTCTCTTTTTTCTTTTGTCATCCCTTTTTGGCATGTCATCTCTCAAGTATATTATACTGCTTTTTGTTTTCTCTCTTTCATCTTATTAATGTTTGCAGGGGTAATATGTCTATATCCACTGGTTTCTGAGTCTGTTTGCTATTCCTTTATTTTTTGAGTGGAAGAGAAAGATGAGAACTGAAAAGCGAGAAGGCTAGACTCTTATTTAAGAAATTAGATGAAGGCATTTAATGTCACTTCATTCCAAAAATCCTTTTGGAACAGAACAACTATTTCATCACTTCCCAGATATTGCTTTCTTCAAGGTAAAACTTTTCTAAAATCCCTTCATATGTCCTCCTGTTTTTAAAAGTTGTTGAGAAGAAAATCATTTATCTAAGGCCATGTACATAAGGAATAGTATTAATCTTCAGATTTGTTGTTTAAATGTATATGTCTGCATATGTGCTAGCAGTCTAAAGTCCCCTTATAATTATTGGAGATGTCCCAGTGTCTGGGTGATACCATTTCAGAAGGGTATGGGTCTACTCTATGTTCTATGTCGTATCTGCCATGCCTTACCCAAATGTTTTAAGTATCCTGGAGCATCTCCAATGGCACAAGCCACCTGCATGTGGGTAACTTAGTTAAGAGTCCTTCCCACACCAGTTGGCAATCATGGAGAAAGAGACAAGGTAGGCACATAGTGCTTAGGCAGCTGAATTGCTTTCTAGTTCTGTTGAATAGGTATTCATTGACTACACTGGTAGCTTAGACACCTAAATTCAGGTGTCTTAATCTGGATCTGAACCCCCACCCTGTAACTCCTATTTACTAAACGGGTTTTATTTCCTTCCATCATGTCTGTAAAGTTGCTGAAAAACATTATTGTCCCTCCAAGCCCACAGGGAATTCTGTGTAATGATCTTCCCATGGGCTTTTTTGTACAAGCCAAAGGATGTATTTCCTTTCCTTTCAACTGACTATATTTCTTCTGCTTCTTATTTCTAATGGCTACACATTTATTTCATATTGGGTTTTTGTAAGATAAAACAGGAAAAAATTGACAATTCTTGGAATAGGCACTAGAGACTTTCTTAATGGAGCAGATTGTGAAGAATTACCGCAGGTGTTACAAAAATTTGTGATTTTTTTGCAAAGCTTGAGAAAAAAACCTTTCTTTTCTTATCAAGGTATGAGACTTAAGCAAGCACTACACTACAGGCATTTTATTCATTTACCAAGTTTTTTAAAATTAGTTTTCTTCAGTGAAAATGGGGTCCTGCCTGGAAAATTTGCTTTCTGCAAAGGGTTGCTGAAAGTATGTTACTAATGAAAAAAAAAAAAGACTACTCCTTTGAGTATTGGTGAGACAGTATAACTACGAATAAAATCTATTTCATTTCTTTGTTATCATTAACATTGTGTATTACATTCAAATCAATGAGTTAGTCAATTATATGCAAATTTTCAAACAGTGGCACAGGCATTACTGAGGCTATAAGATAATTATATCCCTATATTTTAGAATAAAGATAACAGTACCACAGTTTAAAAATCCTTAGTAACAGTTCATGAAGAAAAATGCTTTCAGGTCTGTGGTTTAACTTAGATAAAAGTAGTGGGGTATGGAAGTTGTTTGTTTCTTTGTTTTAAACTGTAAGTATTTGAGCTGTATCATGAATTGGCATAACTCTGGTGTCCTATAAAACAAAACATACAGGATCACTTTTCAGAATAGAATTTCATTCTGTTCATAGAAGAGAATCATAGAACATCTCAAGTTGGAAGGGACCCATAAGGATCATTGAGTCCAACTCCCTGCTCCTCGCAGGCCTACCTAAAACTGAACCATACGAGTAAGAGCATGGTCCAGATGCTCCTTCAACTCTGACAGGCTTGATGCCGTGACCACTTCCCTGAGAAGCTTGTTCCTGTGACTGACCACCCTCTCAGTGAAGAAGCTTTTTCTAATGTCCAATCTGAGCTTTCCCTGATGCAGTTCCGTATCGTTTCATTGTGTCCTATCACTGGTCACCAGAGAGAGATCAGCACCTCCCCCTCCACTGCCCCACTTGAGAAAGTTGTAGACTGCGATGACATCCCCCCTCCCCCTTCTCTTCTCTAAACTGAACAAACCAAGTGCCCTCAGCCACTCCTAATAAGTCCTGCCCTTGAGACCTTTCATCATCTTGGTTGACATCATCTGAACACACTCTAATAGGTTGATGATGTTCTTATATTAAGGCATCCAAAACTGCACTCAGTACTCAGGGTGGGGCTGCACCATTGCAGTGTAGAGTGGGACAATCACCTCCCTCAACCACCTAGCTAAGCTGTGCTTGATGTACCTCAGGACATGGTTAGCCCTTTTGGCTGAGGTGTCTGAAGAGATATGGTTGTTCCAGGTGTTTGCTGTTGGCTATTTCTAAGCATCGTCCTCTTCTACATGCATATGGACTGAATTGACCATACAGGCTCCTAGCCTTACTGTGTGGTCATTGAGGAAGACTTTATGGGCACCTACATAGACTTAACAGTATACATAAAAGCCTTGAATCAGTTGTTCCCACGTAGGCATGTGTCTACTGCCTTCAAATGTTACTAGATCCCTTTGTGTATGCAAATGACTAAGGTCTAAAGAATCTGCAAGCCTAAAGACGGTATTATTGATCAGATCAAATATTTACTGCTGAGATCTAAGTTAGGCTCTAGGCACAAAAGAAACCTGGACATTCTGGTTATACCCCAACCTCAGTGGACTAGAAGTTGAATGCTGAATTGCCATTTTTCTTATAGAATATCTTCTCCATAATTGTCACTGCTGTCTAATGGTTTTTCACTACTTATTTGGAGGACATTAAAGAGGTCTTATCAGAAAATTCTGAGAATCATCAGAGAATCTCACTGTCATAAAAAGAAAAATGTAAAATGTTTAATTTTGATATCAAAGGTCCATGATTTTAATAACAATTATAAAAATATAAAATTATATTCCAGCAGACTCCTTTTATTGGTTTAGAATAAGAAACTGGAACGCAATCAACTTCTGATTAAAATGTTTGTGTTTCTATTGCAGATTGCCACAGAGGCCATAGAAAATATTAGAACTGTTGTTGGTCTGACCCGAGAAAGAAAATTTGAGTTGATGTATGGAGAACATTTGCATGTACCCTACAGGTATAATAAAAATAACTAAGCTAAAAAAAAATCCATATTTAAACTATAGAATAAATTACAAATATTTACTTGGACTAACATTGATTATTTTTTTTTTTGTTAATGTGTATGATTTAGTGTATAATTTAATTACATCAGAATTAATGTAAATATTTGCATATTTCTGATTAACAAATGCAACCACTAGCCAACATTTTTGTTCTTTGATTTAATTGATTTTCTGTGATAATATTGCTATCTTCTATTGCAATATCTCTTGGTTTGGAAAAATGTTAGTTTTCAGTGAGCTTTAGAAGTCATCTAATATAACCTCCAACCTGAAGTGTTTCAGATATTTAACTAAAAACTTTTTAATGCAAATTGAATATTGCATTAAGCCATTTTTGAAAGTATGAATAGGATTGAAAACATTTGAATAATTACTTGTTGGTTTGTGACTGAAAAAAAAATTGAATATAAATCTGCCTGAACTAAATCAAAATTATAAAGTCTTAAAATAAAAAAACCCCAAAACTAAAAAAAGATACTGTCAATTAAAGTTTTGTTCGTTCCAGAGTTAAGAGTTTCATTTGCAGACATCCATGAGAGAAGTAAAGGACAGGACAGCGTACATACACAGATATGATGAGAGACAAGTAGGCAGGCTACTAATACATCTACCATAATAATTGAGTGGTTTGGGCACAGTGCAGGATGTAAAAGATACTACTTAAGCTTTTTTATCAGGTTGCTAGGTTTTGAGTCCATATCTTACAACTTGCAAGACAGCGGCTACCCATTCTCAGGGTTGACGTTGATGGGATTGCTCCAAGACTTTCATCTTAATGTTGTTCTATTATAAACAAGAATTTATTGCCCTATGGGTCAATTTGTCTGGAAGAGATAGGACATGTGTTTTTCAGTTAATGCTTCAGTGCTTGTTAAACCACTGGTTAGGCAAAGAGTTTCTATTTTATAAAAATTGAGCTTAGACTTTCTGTTATACTGGATTGATGCAGAAATCAGCTATGTAAAGGAGAAGTCACAACAACCTCTTAATTAAAAAAAAAAAAAAGCACTCTTGTGAATCTGGCTCCTCTTTGTTTTGATTTGTGTTTTTTCCAGAAGGAACCATACAGTTGTGACTTAGTAATAGCATCGATAAAATGAAAATACTTTATTTCTTTTTTCTTGCAGAAAATTTTCTCTCTGCCTTGCTTTTAGATATAAGCATAGTTTTATCATCCAAAATCTAATTTCTGCATCATACATGCAGGCTTAATTTTATTTGAAAGAGGAGTTTTGACTGATAAAATTGAAAAGAAACAGATTCTTGAGAGTATAACATTGAACTGTTTAATGTCTTTGTTATTTGGTTAACAAAAAATAGCAAGTAAAGAAAAAATGACAAAAATTTGGCTTTGGCTGAAGGTGAGCTAACAGTTCTGCTCTTTTTTTTTCCTCTTATGTGATGCAGTAGTAAAATTTACATCTTCAAAGTAGTAATCATGGACTGAAACATAAAGTGTTTTAACACTCAAACTATGAGATGGTAAGACAATAATTATACGTAGCAGCTAAGACACCGCCCTTTTGTGTACCCATATTCCAAGCTGTTCTTGGAAGTAAATAAAATTCTGGAAACAAAACTAACTTTTCTTAGACACACACTAATAGGAGACAAGGGATTGTGTTGTTTAAGTATGAATACACTTCCCATTCATAACAGTTGCATCTGAAGTCAATTAGTTGCTTTTTGCATACTGGGACTTAAGTATGATTGCAGGTTTTAATGAAAATATGCATTCTTTCTTACAGAAATTCTGTGAAGAAGGCACATATATTTGGATTTTGTTTTGCCCTTTCACAAGCAATGATGTTCTTTACCTACGCCGGCTGTTTCCGGTTTGGTGCATATCTAGTGGTAAACGGACACATGCAGTATAAAAGTGTGTTTTTGTAAGTATCTCTTTTGCAATCTTTTTTCTATCAGTTCAGAGAAAGGTCTTTGTTTACTCCTAGAGATATCATGAGTGCATTGGGTAAGCTATGACAAAACAGGCAAATTCTTCTGTACTTAAATGTAATGAAAGCATATTACAAAGTGGATTTTCTAGGTGACTACAGAGTCTGAGCTGTTCCAGTAGGCCTGATTTTGGATTTTCTTTTCTCTATTTTCCAGAGGTTGAAACAGTATCCTACTTACATCACTTTGTTTATTCTCACCAATCTTATTGTTCGTGTAGCTGTGAGGTCCTCTGTATATTCTACAAAAAACATAGTTGTAGCTGTTTATTGAAGCATAATACTACTGTAAAAATCTTTTCAAGAATGGGTCATCATAGTCTTTGTTATTTCTATGTCAGGTTTATTCATTGAAATTTGAAATCTTCTCTAAAATACATGTTAAATAGTTGGAGAATGGGATTCCATAAGGTAAATGCTGTTCACTATAAGGGAAGGATAACTAAATTATTTCAGGTGACATCCTGAGAAGAATCTTGTTCATTAAATGAACAATTTTGTGTGGGAAATGAAAGTATGAACCATGAATGTAAGAACAGTGTGTAGAGTACTGTACATACGCATAATCAGGTAGAGCATTTTATGTTTAATTTAGACAGGTATTGCAAATAAAATATCATTCTAATTTGCAGTATTCTTAGAAGGTGTACCATTGCAATCTGGAATTATGCAAGGAATAGTACAATTATCTGTTTCTAAGGACACTTTATAGGCTTCTAAGGACAGAAACTTACAAAAATTAGAGGAATTATCTTGAAATTATACCTTATCCTTAGTTTCTTACCTTTATATTTCAGGGTTATAATTACTGTTTATCCAGCCATTTACCGTAATACCTAAGAGCCCCTATCATAACTGAAGTCCCATTTTTTAGATCCTACATAAACTCAGAAGAAATATAATTTCTGATTTAAGAGGCAATAGGTCAATACAAGTCTATGGAAACAAGTATGAAAAGAATGAGATCTACCAGTAAGGATATCAGTGATCTCAACGCCTAAGAAAGGCCAATAATACAAATTTTTTTTGGCGACCTTATTAAAGATAGTTGACACAGCTCATTTTGACTGGAAGATGTTGGAAAGTGTCTGCATCCTGTCCTCTAGCTGAACATCTCTAGCCAGCTGGGGGAGTGAACTTTCAGTGGTTCAATTAGATTTGGAAGGGAATGTCTGACCTAAAACTGTGTAAGCACTTGTAGGCTGTTCAAATGCAGAATAAATCAGATTAATTTATATAGCTCTGAAGATAAAAATTCATATAAATGAATTTATTTTACTCTGCCTTAAAACAGGCTAAGAGGTCTCATATGTCAATTACCATTTCTCAGTGATCAGTAATCCTATGTTGTGTGAGAGTAATTAATAGCTGAGGACAGCAGGTTCTTGAACCATTCTAATGTAGCCTGTAAAGATACATCTACATTCACCATAAACTGATAATAGTGTAGTTTTCAACCTTTTTTTTGGTGTTGTGAACCCTTTAAATTTTTATCACATAGCTGTGATAACAAATTAAATCTTTATTGTTACTTTGTTACAGGCTTGATTTCTTATTTTTGTTGATGCCTTAAAAATGAATCACTAACTCCCAGAGATCATTGAACCACAGAGAGGAAACCACAGCAACAGCAGAACAGGATTAGAATAATGATTATATCATTTTTCTCCTAGCCTGAGTTGAGACTTCATATAGTCAACCAGTGTTAATAATTCAAGAAATTAGTGCTAATAAGTAACAAAAACACCGAATGTGGGATGAATGCTTGTTTATCTCACTTCATTAAGAGAGGATAAACACAAATTTCTGGAGTTAAATGAGTAATTAAAGCAATAATAGTTGGTTACTACTTTATTCTTTTTAAATTTAGTCCCCTTTTTTCTCTGAGTAAAAGAAAAAGGTGTCTGCAGCTGCATTTCCATTTTCCTTTTCTTCATTGTCTATTTATTGATTTTTTTTTTTCTGATTTCTTTTATAGAGTGTTTTCAGCTGTGGTATTTGGTGCAATGGCATTAGGACAAAGCAGTTCTTTTGCTCCAGACTACGCCAAAGCCAAGATATCGGCAGCCCACTTGTTTCTGCTGTTTGAAAGGGTACCCTCAATAGATAGTTACAGTGAGGAAGGAGAGAAGCCTGTAAGTAAGCCATGTGTAATGGGCAATATTATTTATTGATAATGTGGACAATACTCTTCTCACTTCCTTGAAACTGATTTTTCATCTCCTTCTGACTACTTCCTTATCTCAATGTATCCTTGACACTTTATCCAAACACAACATGGACCAAGTTCTCTATTGTGAGTTCAGCTTTTGCCCACAATGTCTAAAGGTTATTTGTTTTGAAAATCTGATTAAGGTATAACTTGTGTAGAATTCAACCAGCAGAATTATGAGCATTTTCAAATTAGTTCTGTGCTGTACTTTGATTTTATAGCTTCACAAAGATTCAGACTGCAGAGTTAAAGTTAGCATTCCAGAAAATGTGAAACTATTGATTTCAGTGGGGGAAAAAAAAAAACAACCCAACTTCTGCAATTCTAGTTGAATCATCTGTCAAATTGTCTTAAAGATGTAACAGTGATACTATTTCATTTATAGGAAACATTTGGAGGAAGCATAATGATCAAAGATGCAGCATTTAACTACCCAAACCGACCAGAGGTCAAAATCCTCCAGGGTTTGAATCTGAAAGTAGAAAAGGGACAAACCCTGGCTCTTGTTGGTAGCAGTGGCTGTGGAAAGAGTACTGTTGTTCAGCTGCTGGAGAGATTTTATGATCCACTTGATGGAGAAATGGTAAGTGGTTTTGTAACAACATGTTAAGGCAGGGTGTGCTTATTTCATTTTATGTGATGTGATAAAGTATAATATATACTTATGTTATTTTTAAAATATTTTTAATGTTAAAGACAACCAGTGGTTCATCAGGATTCCTAATTTAAATGCTATGAAATAGTATAATGGGAAAAGCCCTGATTTCCCACATTAAAATGAATCAATGGAACAACATCTTTGAGGTAAAAATATACCTGATTCACAGCCTAATGATGGCTTTGAATTCAGAGCAAATTTCCTGAGGTTTTTATGTTAAGAACACTTTAAAAGTTATTAAATATACATATCTACTTCTGTATAATGTAGTAATACAATTTGCTATCTGTTCTTTCCTAAAACAGTGAACACTGACAAAAATAATTTTTATCATGAATTTTGCTTGTCAGAAACATCCTTCAGAGTATGCCCACTTAGCAAGCGATAGATTGTAAATACTTTTAGTAATTTTGGTTTAAAATACATCTAGGGTTTCCTACACTGCTTATTCAGCAACTTTACATATTTTTTTCACATAACGGTATTGTTTATTGCCATTTTCACTTTGATGTAAACATGCTCAGAGATTTTGTTTGAAAAGGAACCCACACATTTTGTGTTGGATGAGGTAAGAATAAGAAGGATTTCAGAACTTGTCTCTGCATCAATACTCGCAAAATATCATGTGATAAATAAGGCCTAGATGCAATGGGCAAGACTTTTCTGAGTTTGGAAATGCCCATACAGGTCCAGTGTAGGAAACTGATGAAGAAAGAAACAGCATATGTGCCCCAAAAGTATGTTTAACCAAGTGAAACTTCATCACCAATGTTTTTGACCTTGTATCCATAAATAACCAACAATGGTTTACTGCAGGGAAAAGCACAGGCCTCTGACATAGAAACCACAAAAGCAGTAGCCTAATTTACAAGCTCAGTTGCACTGTGAACTGAGAGAAAGGAGTGTATGCTTAAAAGCACTGTCAGAAGAACGGCTGTTCACAACAGTAAGTGCTATGCTAGTCTGGTAAACTACAGCTAAAAGTTATGCTATTTGGTATGGTGGACCCAAAATGTGTAACAACTGAGTTCTCTAGCTTTCTCAGTGATTTTTTCACATCAAATAAGGAACAGGAAGCAGAACTTAGCAGTCCACAAATCCAATGGAATTCTAAGGAAAAGAAATAGCAAACACCTATGTGGTTGAAAGCAATTTCTCCTTTCTTGCTTTTTTGCACCCCTTTACATCTGCAGATGTAGAAATTCTGCTACTGATTTCAGTGGATTTTGAATCAGGGTCATTATAGTCTCTTTCCTTTGAAAAACAATTCTATTGATTGCAAATCGGCTGTTCTAGTACAAACTGTGGGATTAGTAGATTAATCACATCCGGTAGCCCTGCTATGAAGAGGGCAGTTCTTCAGTTACCCAGCTGATCATGTTACTCAACACAGAGCCAGAGCACTGCACTGCGTGATTCTAGTGGAGGTATAACAGCCCTCTTAATGTCCTGGTATATTTTTGTCCAAGTTGATATGACTCGTATAACTATGAAACTGATCTATCCAGAAAAAAAATATCTGTTGTCATTTATCTAATAGACAATGATACCAACTCAGTAGCCAAATTTAGCAGGTGTGACTGCGTTGCGAATAAAGAAAACTGGCTGTAAATGACATCTTAAGGAATCCAGAAGTAAATTTTTCTGTTGTCAGGCATTACATCCCAATTAAATTTAAGATTGGATGCTTGGCTTAGAAGTATGTGAATGAATGAATCCAACTCTTCCTTTAATTTGATGGAATACTACTGCCCATCTGTTCCTTCAGTGGGAAAATATAGGCAAAATAGAGAAAAGTTTTCCCATCAAAGAAAGAAATGAAAGAACTTTACCCAAAGTTCTGTGAAGTTGCCTCAGCATATCCTATCTTCCACTTTCAGGTCTTCAAAAACCTGATTAATTCTTGAAGCAAAGGAAAGGACTGAGGCAGATGAAGGGACGATCCTCACTTTTATATAATAGCCCTTAGAAAATTTTGGAGCATAGAGGATAAGGAGGGGAAGGGATTATGTGAGCTTTCAATGTGGTATCTCTAAGGAAAGAGCTGCAATTGCACAACTTCTGTGTAAGAATTTAGAGTAAGTCTCACATACATATATAGTCATGTGACTGAAATTTAAAATGTTTGGTTTCTTAGCTTTTTGATGGCAAAAATGCAAAGACTCTAAATATCCAGTGGCTGAGAGCTCAGATTGGTATCGTCTCACAAGAACCAATCCTGTTTGACTGCACTATTGCTGAAAACATCGCATATGGAGATAACAGTCGGCAGGTGTCACATCAGGAAATTGTTAATGCAGCAAAAGAAGCCAACATTCATTCCTTCATTGAGTCTCTGCCAGATGTAAGTTATTCCTTTTCTCTCCTTCTCAGAACTGGAGGTGACATACTGTGGCAGGGAAAAATTGTGTCCATTTATGATTCCCTGGGGTACAATAATTCCCTGAGACATAAATAGATCTGAAACCAATTTTAAAATCTTATCCATTCTTAATTATGTTTACCATACTTATTTTTACTCAGTGAAACTCCATTGTCAGGTGGGGAGCTGAATATTTAAGATATCAGGAAAGAAAATCCACAAGTATATCTTATTGAGAGCTGGAAGTGTGGGGTGTATTTTTTTTTTTTTTTTAAAGTGAGTTAAACATTTCTTTTTAAGCTCCTATTTATCTCAAGCATATGTAAAAAACTCTGCTAGACTGACAGGTTTCTTATGCATTTCTTCCAGTTATACCTAGTCAGAATTTAAATTTCTAGTATTCCTACAAATTACTAAGAAAGTCTTTTGTGTATATATATATATGACCAACACATAATAATGTAAGAATGAACATCTTGGGTCAGATGAAAGGTCTGCCACACACAAAATCATGCAAGACATATTTACAAATAAGTATTGAAAAAGGCTAAGCATTTAATCACATTTCCCTTGAATTCTCATCTAACTGCATAATTTGTGACTCAAGAACTTCCTAAGGTAGAAATTGTGTTATTTAATAGTTCTGGGTGGGTTTTTCTTCTGTGGGTTTGACAAATCAGTTTCTAACGCATGTCAACTTATATCCAAAACTTCCTGAAGCAAGGAGGTTGCTGGCTTAGTTGTATGTTGTATATATTCAGCTTAATTTGAGGCTATTAGTCTGCTTTTTGCATTTCTTGAAAAAATACAAAGGCCAAAACCCATGACTTTTGCAGATCATATTTAGTTTCTAATGACTTAACAAGATCTGCTCTTTCCAAAATTTTGTAGAGAAATCTTGGGATATATAATGATGTCTCATAAAGCTTTGGTGGTTTTTCCAACCAAATATTTAATAACTGAAAGACTATTTTGACCTATACATGAGTTTTTCTGGAGGCCTGACTGGTCTACCTTAACTGACATAACTAATTTAAAAGCATAACTGCCCAAAACTGTAGTGTAGATATAGATAAAGTGTATAAATGTCTATGTCTATATATAGATATAGTAAGTAATTTGAATTGATACATCACTATTTTTTTCTTCAGGATGAATAAATGTGGGTTAGAATAATGGATTGCTTACGATGCTAGCTTGGAGCATTCAAGGTCAGGGTTTGATCCCCAGTATTGTCATAGACTTTCACTGAGCTTTGGTTTTCTGTCTCCTGATTGAGGATAATGTTTTCTTCCAATCTTAGAGGGAATGTTGCTTTGAATTTATGAAATGCTTGATGCTACAAAGAAGTCTTCCAGTGAAGGATCTATAGATCTGTGGCAGATAGCTAGTCTGCTCATCTGTTTTCAGAGAGCTATTGGCATGGAATATGCGGTTTACAGATGGCTATTGTCAGGGTCAATATGCTTAAATATACTTCAGAATTGATTTGCATTCATAATCTGAACGTGATATATCGTTTGTAGAAATACAATACCCGCGTAGGAGACAAGGGAACTCAGCTTTCTGGTGGTCAGAAACAACGTATTGCTATTGCCCGAGCTCTTGTACGTCAGCCTCAAATTCTGCTACTGGATGAAGCTACGTCTGCCTTAGATACAGAAAGTGAAAAGGTAACTTGATTTGAGCCAGGAGTCTGGAATCTAAATCCATGTTTCTTTGTATAATGATTATTGTTTTCACTTCCACAGATTAAAGCCCAAAGCCTGAAATACGGTGTTTTATGCAAATTGCATATTTATGCTAATAATAAATACAAAGATCATACTCCTTGCAAAAAAAAAAAAAAAGTTTTTTAATCTTTATGGCAGTAGGCAGATTGAAGTAGCAATGAAGAAGGTATTTCTTTGCCTGGAATTCTTCAGGCTTCCATTGGAAAAGTGCTATCAAATTGAATCAGGAGGCACAAATTTCAGAACCTGAAAAGTTTGAGGATGCACCCAGAAAGCCTTTTTTCTGGGAAAAGACTAAATCCTGGTTTCATCAATTTTTTTGCTTCTCCCATTGCTCTCCAGTCCTTGCTATTTGTTCATGGCTAATATGCAAACGTCCAGTGAAAAAAATTGCTAGAACACATATTTCTTTTTTAAGCCCAAAGCTGCAATCTTGGTATAACAGAAGTACATTCTAGCTGTAGAAAATCAACACAGATTCTACATAAGTACTTAGTATTAATAGACAAATATTATAATAAAAATTACAACCCGAAAAACTCAAACCCTATGGACTAAGCTTTGATCAATTCTAGGCATAAAAACATAAGGTTTGAGGGGAAAATGACATTAAATAATTCCAGGATTCTTTATTTTCTTAATTATGTGCCAGTTAGGTCCAGAAATTTAATTTCTTATTTTATTCTGTATTAGTAAACATACAGAGTAAAGAAAAGAAAGCAGAGATTCTTATTAGTATTTTTCTGCTAGTGCTAGCTTTAAAAAAACCATGATTCATAAGAGTCCCTGCAAAATCATGAGCACTAGTATGATAGTAGTTGACTCAAGATTGCTGACTTAACTCCCATATATGATTAATCAGTCATGGAAGGGACCTCTGGAGGTTTCTAATTGAAACTCCTCTTCAAACAAGAGCCAATACGGAATTCAAACTAGGATGCTTAGTGCTGTGTGCAGTAGGGTCCTTGAAAATCTCCAAGGAGATTTATAAGCTGTCTTTTGTCCCTGTTCCAATCCTTGATTATTCCTGCATTAAATATTTCTTTTATCCAGTCAGAACCTCCCCTGTTACAATTTATGACCACTTTCTCTTGTTCCCCTGCCACACGTCTCAGTAATGAGCCTGGTTCCATTTCATCCTCTTAGCTATCATGGCATCATCCACTCTGACAGTTTTGACTCCTTGAAACTCCAGGCTAATTCTAAACCAGGAAGCTAAAGCCACAGATATTCCCTTTCCCTCAGTGTCAATTACAGTTTACTTCACAGATGACAATTGAGGTATATCTCACAACAACTGTCAGAATAGTTCACCTTTTGGTTTGTTCATTGCACAGATTGTCCAGGAAGCACTGGATAAAGCCAGAGAAGGTCGCACCTGCATTGTGATAGCTCACCGCCTCTCCACCATCCAAAATGCTGACAAGATTGCCGTGATCCAGAATGGCAAGGTCATAGAGCAAGGGACCCATCAACAGCTCCTGGCTGAAAAAGGCGTCTACTATTCTCTGGTCAATGTTCAAAGTGGATCATGCAACATGTAAATTAAAGGCAGTACTTATCTCTGAATTGTCACTGTAATTATTTCAATACTGCTATTTTTGTCACTGTAATTATTTCAATATCAGTAGTCAGTCTTATTACTTTTGGTTTTCCTCCTTCCTTTCTTAAGTCCTACAAAACAAAAACTGCTAAGTAAATATGTACCGGTTTCTCACTGCTAGTTTTCATTATTCAAACCACTCTACTATGTGGCCAAAGCATGTGCACTCATAAAAGTAAAAACATACTAAGCCAAATGCAATTAATATTAGCTTGCTTTGAATTCTGTCAAATTCACACTAATCAGGCATGTCTGGTAAATATCCCATAAACATTTTCATGATCAGTAAAAATATTTTTTATTTTGCTATTGCCAGAAACAAACCTCAAGCCTTATCCTTACTGTGCCTGTGGAAGGCACAATCAGTCCTGGCCTATTAGGGTTGTTATCAACTTGTTACGCAAACTTGCAGGTCAGCTGGAGCTTGGCGCTAGATGTCTGTTGCTACCATGTGGAGTTTTAGCCTGGGATGACAGCAAAGGTATTGGAAATATGGGCACAGGCTGAAAACAAAGGTCCCAGAACTGTAAGTACCTCACTGGTGGTCAGTTACTGATCATTGAAGAGGTGCAACTTCAAGAGCTGGGAGAAGACTGCTTTAAGTATAACACAGAAAAGACGCAGCAGATTAAAAAAAAAAAAAAAAACAAACACCACAACTGATGGGCAAGGCAAGGCACAGCACCTGCTGCAGCCTGGGAAAGTAGTATCTGCACATGTCCCAAAGTCCTAGGGGTCAGAGGTCAAGGGCTAAGAAATCTCTAAAGAATGTAATATTTTATAAAAGGAGAAGGTCTTTAGTTTGGGCTTGAAGGAAGGGGAAGGAAGGACACCCTTTTCAGTGTTAGCTTCCTTCATTGAAGAGCTCTTGAATCTGATCACCCTGATGACTGAGACTCTCAAGGACTGTAACCAACGGTGCTAATTACATGGCATCAGCTCTGTGATATTGTATATTAGTTACTAATTTAGGATGACTGTTAAGGAGTAACTGCTTTGAATATGTAGTAATAGTGATTAATGATTATTAAGAACTAACCATTAGCAATGTATATTGTTTTATATATATATGTGTGCAGTAAAGTTTATTTTTAAGTTTAAAACTGGCCTCATTAATCAGTCTTCCACACTTCCGCGATAGCAATTTCTGATTCCCTGAGATTTATACATAGATCTGTCATATCTACATGCAGATATTTATACACACACAGCCTAACTGATAGGCAATTAGGCTCATCAATATACTCATACTACTCTCCAGAACATTAATTGATGCAGTCTTCCTCTTGAATCACCAGTTTTCTTCTGTTCCTGTCTTAGATGGACCACTTTGACTAGCAAATTTCTTTGTTTCCCGTTTATGTATTACTTGATACAATAACATTCTTGTCCATGAGTAAGGCTATTATTCTGCACCATAATATAAATAAGTTATATATGCAATTGCAAGAATAGAATAGATACTCTTTAACATTATAGACTGAAGATTCAAGTGAGAACATATTTATGTTGATTTTCTAAAATAAATCCTGGATTTTAGTCTTTTATTTTTAAAACTAGGCTTTTTAATTTTTCATGATACAATTTCTAATGATTGGATTTGTAATGATTGGATTGTTTCCCCAGCTTGTATCATTTCACAGATGCTTGATTTACCAGTTAAATTTAGCTCTTCCTGAAAATCAGGCAAGAATTGTAAATGTTTTACCACAGACATCTGAAAATCAATTTTGAAAATTTTGGCCATATAGTTTAAAATCTATCTAAGAAATTCATGTCAAATGTAGAAACTTTCCAAAACAATCTATTTTTCTCTATCCTTTTCTTCTGCATTTCCAAAGAAGTATTTCCCCTTGGTTGAAATTTATGCAAATGTCTGCATAAATGCCAAACACTTAACTTTTGGTTGAAAGCAGCTATCAGGAAAGTAAGCACTTTCCTGTAAGGATACTGGATGTTTATTTCCAAATCCACCATAAATGCTTAAATAACTATGCTGCTGATCACAATTGCTTTCCTTTCAGAGTTTCCTTTTGGAAGACCATATTACTACTGTTGTGCTACCACCAGATGCTCATCATGTCATAAAGCTAAAAGGACAGACAAAGACACCTCCAAAAATGTGTACTTCACCATATTCTATTAATACACTTTTACATGATAAAGCTTGATCCAAAGGAAGGGTTGACTGACCTAGGACAATTCTGCTTTAGGGACCATTATTTTACTGCATCTTCCTACAGCACGTAAGAGATATTACTTCCTATCTCTGCCTTTTCAGTTAGGCTCTGAGACATTTTGGTTCACCTTGATATCATAAAATACCTATCTGAGCTCTGAGTCCTCCTCATTGAAATAGCCAGCAATTGTCTTTGACCATAAGCACCCTAAATACTTGATATCTAAAGTAATAGGCCTTTTTCCCTCTGCCTTGTTCTTTTGAGAGCATGCAGCAGTTTCGAGCAGAACTTACCTTTCTGGAGGAAGGTAATCTAACAGTGTTTTTCACACATTTCTTGTGCCTCTTGCCCCATTAGCTTTGGAATAAGTCTTTAGGGAGATGTCAGCATCGACACCACCTTTGCAATCCAAAACACTTTCCAAGCATATGCCACTGACTCTAGGAAAAAGGAACCAAGAGGCACTTAAGTTCAACAGTCTGATAGCACTCTGGCTGAAAACACTAATCAAAAGAGAACTCTCAGAAGAAAAACAGGGTTTAGGTCTAGAAAGCCTTTCCTACTGCAGACTCTTATCAGGATGTTGAATACTACAGTGTCCTATTGCCCAGCATTCTCCAGCATATCCCTACAAGGGCAATTTGTTGTTCCTTACGTGACAAATACTTCACTACTAAGCCCTTCTATAATTTCTGACATAGAGCAAAAGCATAAATAAACTCCAGCATTCTCCCTCCTCTCAAAACATTCTGAAGGAGTATTTCTCACCAATGCCATAGACCATGTACCACCTCCAAAAGACGACTGTAAATCAGTTCTGGATCTCCACTAGTCTCTTCTTTAGGCATTCCCTCAAAGTTCTTCCTGAACTATCCTACATGTCGGAAGATGTTCAACAGTATTCCACCCTGACACTGACTCCCCATCAATCTAGCTTTAATGGAACTGGTTCTCCTTCCTTATGAGTAAATCCTCTGAACCTGTTGTCTCTTTCTTGCTGCTGTACTTGTCCAGGAAAATGACCTTCCTGGTAGCATTCATTTCTGCAATACACTAAAGAGTTCTTTGAAATATTTGTTAATGAGTAATTGTTGTAATCATTCATGGTACAAATAGACATAAAGTTAATCTTTTCCTCAAGAGGTATTGTCTATTTGTACATTTGTAACTCTTCCTCCTATTCCTCTCCCTCAAAATCCAATTTACTTTGTAGACTTGGTCATCGAAAGGAAAGAAGACAACTTGGCAGAGAGGAGAAACATGGCACACGGCCTATGAATACAGGGTAAAAACACCCAACTAGCAATTTTTGTGCAGAAAAAGGCACATTATAAATGTAACTATAGACAGTCTCAATAACTTACTGTCAAGTACTCAGTCTTTCTTCTAGATAATTTCTCTAGAATAATGTCATTTAGTCATACGTTCATTCTGTATTTCTAAAACAGGATGGTATCTTTTATTCTAGTTATTTTAATGCAGTAAACTGAAAACAGAAAGTAAGAAACAGGACCAGCAGCCACTTCAAATCCTTTGCTGTGAATTCCATGGACTGGAGAGATGTAGAGATTCTTGAAAGTAGAGAACAGGAAGGAAAAGTGCAGAGCACACAAGGACAACTGTCTTTAGCAATCCCTGTTGTGAGTACATTTCCTTTTGTCTTTGTATGCTTATTCTTGTGTACATTTCATTCTAGCTGTATTCTGTCAACTAAGGAGATCAGTATACTAATGCTGTTGCTGTAGAGGTCTAGGACAGGGCAGCGTCTAACTGAAAGTAAACATTCATCGTTAAGCTCTGGCCAATGAAGTCTAGGGCACAGTTCATCCCATTCTAGAGTTGCTGTCACTAGCTGGCCCCATTAACAAAAACCTTGTATTGTATCTCTTCATAAAAGGATATAGAATCATAAAATCGTAGAATGGTTTAGGTTGGAAAGGACCTTAAAGATCATTGAGTTCCAACCCCCCTGCCATGGGCAGGGACACCTCCCGCTAGACCAGGTTGCCCAAGGCCACATCCAGCCTGGCCTTGAACACCTCCAGGGATCGGGCCTCAACAACCTCTCTGGGCAACCTGTTCCAGTGCCTAACAACCCTCAAAGTGAAAAACTTCTTCCTAATGTTTAATCTAAACCTGCCCTCTTCCAGTTTATATCCATTCCCCCTCATCCTGTCACTACGTGACCTAGTAAAGAGTCCTTCCCCAATGGACTTCCCAAATGGACTACTTTATATATCAAGTGGCCGAATAATTCAAGGAGAATGTTTCCATAAGACAGTTACATGAATAGCAATACAAAATGTTTCAATATAGTAAATCTGTAAACATTGTCTGCCATAAAGCTGCAGCTTTGTATTTACTAGGACAGAGACATTTTTTCTGGAAATAATAGAAATTCTATGGGGCTGTTTTAAAATGCCCAAACATTTAAAGTCATCAATATTTTAGATAACATAAAAGACTGTGTCTGCATTTATCATGTGTATATAATCTGTCTTAATAGATTTGCTTTAAGTGTCTGTGGGTAGAAATGATATCATTCATTTGCTTAGTAAAGGAGACAAATATGTTAACAATTTTTTTGAATACAGCAAACAATTGTTCTAAGATAAAATAGCATGGTTCTTACATCATCTACCAAGCAGGAAGAGTTTTATTTCTCTGTTACTTCTGACTTGGTTCTCAGGTCACTTAGGAAAATGGGGTAAGTGAATAACTTGATTAATGTGGAACCTAGGAAAATAATTAAGTTCAGGATATGTAAGATGTTAAAATGAAGCAATGTTGAGGGAGAAGGAATGCATATCTGTCTG